CTCTCTCTCTCTCTCTCAAGCCAACTTTATTAACCTCACACTCTGATGAGTGAACAGACCAGCAGCTAGATTCACTTTCACCATCACTGCTGTAAACCTGGCTGCTGCTCTCTCACTCGCTCTCACGTACAGATTAGCTGTACTAAGCACTAGATTTGATAACAGCATCCGGTTCATGTCCTCTGTCTGTCTGTCAGTTTGATAGATCTGCTGGTCGGAGCGCCGCTCTTCATGGACCGAGGGTCGGATGGAAAGCTGAGGGAGGTGGGACAGGTAGGAACTTTTACAAACTATAAATAATGAGATCAGAAACTGGGTTTGGGTTTATGGAAATCTGAAGGATTCTAACTTTAGTTCAAAGTCATAAATGAGTTTATATATATATATGACAAAGTAGTCTATGTTAGCCTGACTCATGTCCACTTCACTGTGTCCAAATATCCACAATCCACGAGGACCCGCTGTAAGTCAAGAAAAGGTCAACCTTTAATTCCAGATTTTACAAAAGGCCCAGTGCTCAGCTTGTTACGATGCAGATCTCTTCACCTCCCGCCACGTGTTCCTTTTCACTGCCTTTACAATATGCATCGTTGACACTGGACATCGCTGTCACTGGAATCATACCCAGAATGCAGCAGGCAGCCTCTGTAACTTGTAAATGCTTGGGGTCTCCAGGTGTCGGTGTACCTGGGCCGTGGTGGATTTTCCTTCCAGCCTCCTCAGCTGCTCACAGGGTCCGAGGTTTACGCCAGGTACGGCTCTGCCATCACAGCGCTGGGAGACCTGGATAAGGACGGCTACAACGGTAAGAGAGGGACCACACGCACAGATCATCCGGACCAGGTCCAGACCCTGACCTGGATAATTCCTGCTTCGCCTCACGTCTCTTCCTGTCTCCCTCCTTCACCCCTCCAGATGTGGCCATCTCTGCTCCTTATGGAGGCACCGGCCATCTGGGCGTGGTCTACATCCACAACGGCCGCGCTCGAGGGCCCGACCCCACTCCTTCCCAGGTAACCATCAGTTCCAGGTGTGTTTATTAGTCACATTATCAGCGTAGCTCCACCATTGGTCCAGACTAAGCAGGAACCTCCAGGTCTGAAAAGTGAAGCCTTAAACCTGCGTTCTGTCTAGCGGCCAGCAGGGGCGACTCGCAGGCTGCAGAAAGAAGTGTGATTGTATAGAAGTGAAGAAAATGAGGCTTGCAGACAGTAGGTTGACCGCCATGAAGGCGTTCATGTTCCTCAGAGGATGAATCTTAATGACGTTTTCCACCACAGGGTCTCCTCAGTAGCTGTTGGAGCTCACAATCGCATCACATGATCGTCCTCTGTTTGTCCGGTTGCCATGTTGCTGCTTCACAACGAAACACACACGTTTTGTTTTCATGCTGTGTTGATTCTTACCTGTGTCTCGTCTCTCAGGTCCTGCGGGGCAAATGGGCGTCCTCCTACATGCCTGCTAGCTTTGGATACTCCATTACTGGAAACACTGACATAGACCAGAACGGATATCCAGGTACACAGATTTAAACTTTATATATGTACAGTATCTCACAAACGTGAGTACAACCCTCACATCTTTGACACTGCTCCAGTGTAAAGTAGTGAGCGTGCAGCTTGTATAACAGTGTAAAGTAGTGAGCGTACAGCTTGTATAACAGTGTAAAGTAGTGAGCGTGCAGCTTGTATAACAGTGTAAAGTAGTGAGCGTACAGCTTGTATAACAGTGTAAAGTAGTGAGCGTACAGCTTGTATAACAGTGTAAAGTAGTGAGCGTGCAGCTTGTATAACAGTGTAAAGTAGCGAGCGTGCAGCTTATATAACAGTGTAAAGTAGTGAGCGTACAGCTTGTATAACAGTGTAAAGTAGTGAGCGTACAGCTTGTATAACAGTGTAAAGTAGTGAGCGTACAGCTTGTATAACAGTGTAAAGTAGTGAGCGTGCAGCTTGTATAACAGTGTAAAGCAGTGAGCGTACAGCTTGTATAACAGTGTAAAGTAGCGAGCGTACAGCTTGTATAACAGTGTAAAGTAGCGAGCGTGCAGCTTGTATAACAGTGTAAAGTAGTGAGCGTACAGCTTGTATAACAGTGTAAAGTAGTGAGCGTACAGCTTGTATAACAGTGTAAAGTAGTGAGCGTACAGCTTGTATAACAGTGTAAAGTAGTGAGCGTACAGCTTGTATAACAGTGTAAGTAGTGAGCGTACAGCTTGTATAACAGTGTAAAGTAGGGAGCGTGCAGCTTGTATAACAGTGTAAAGTAGTGAGCGTGCAGCTTGTATAACAGTGTAAAGTAGTGAGCGTGCAGCTTGTATAACAGTGTAAAGTAGTGAGCGTGCAGCTTGTATAACAGTGTAAAGTAGCGAGCGTGCAGCTTGTATAACAGTGTAAAGTAGCGAGCGTGCAGCTTATATAACAGTGTAAAGTAGTGAGCGTGCAGCTTGTATAACAGTGTAAAGTAGTGAGCGTACAGCTTGTATAACAGTGTAAAGTAGTGAGCGTGCAGCTTGTAGAACAGTGTAAAGTAGCGAGCGTGCAGCTTGTATAACAGTGTAAAGCAGTGAGCGTACAGCTTGTATAACAGTGTAAAGTAGTGAGCGTGCAGCTTGTAGAACAGTGTAAAGTAGTGAGCGTGCAGCTTGTAGAACAGTGTAAAGTAGTGAGCGTACAGCTTGTAGAACAGTGTAAAGTAGTGAGCGTGCAGCTTGTAGAACAGTGTAAAGTAGTGAGCGTGCAGCTTGTATAAAAGTGTAAAGTAGCGAGCGTGCAGCTTGTATAACAGTGTAAAGCAGTGAGCGTGCAGCTTGTATAACAGTGTAAAGCAGTGAGCGTGCAGCTTGTATAACAGCGTAAAGCAGTGAGCGTACAGCTTGTATAACAGTGTAAAGCAGTGAGCGTACAGCTTGTATAACAGTGTAAAGTAGTGAGCGTGCAGCTTGTATAACAGTGTAAAGTAGTGAGCGTGCAGCTTGTATAACAGTGTAAAGTAGTGAGCGTGCAGCTTGTATAACAGTGTAAAGTAGTGAGCGTACAGCTTGTATAACAGTGTAAAGTAGCGAGCGTGCAGCTTATATAACAGTGTAAAGTAGTGAGCGTGCAGCTTGTAGAACAGTGTAAAGTAGTGAGCGTGCAGCTCGTATAACAGTGTAAAGCAGTGAGCGTGCAGCTCGTATAACAGTGTAAAGCAGTGAGCGTACAGCTCGTATAACAGTGTAAAGCAGTGAGCGTACAGCTTGTATAACAGTGTAAAGTAGTGAGTGTGCAGCTTGTATAACAGTGTAAAGTAGTGAGTGTGCAGCTTGTATAACAGTGTAAAGTAGTGAGCGTGCAGCTTGTATAACAGTGTAAAGTAGTGAGTGTGCAGCTTGTATAACAGTGTAAAGTAGTGAGCGTGCAGCTTGTATAACAGTGTAAAGTAGTGAGTGTGCAGCTTGTATAACAGTGTAAAGTAGTGAGCGTGCAGCTTGTATAACAGTGTAAAGTAGTGAGCGTGCAGCTTGTATTTTAGGGAGCGTACAGCTTGTATAACAGTGTAAAGTAGTGAGCGTACAGCTTGTAGAACAGTGTAAAGTAGTGAGCGTACAGCTTGTATAACAGTGTAAAAGTAGTGAGCGTGCAGCTTGTATTTTAGGGAGCGTACAGCTTGTATAACAGTGTAAAGTAGTGAGCGTACAGCTTGTATAACAGTGTAAAGTAGTGAGCGTGCAGCTTGTATAACAGTGTAAAGTAGTGAGCGTACAGCTTGTATAACAGTGTAAAGTAGTGAGCGTGCAGCTTGTATAACAGTGTAAAGTAGTGAGCGTGCAGCTTGTAGAACAGTGTAAAGTAGTGAGCGTGCAGCTTGTAGAACAGTGTAAAGTAGTGAGCGTACAGCTTGTAGAACAGTGTAAAGTAGTGAGCGTACAGCTTGTAGAACAGTGTAAAGTAGTGAGCGTGCAGCTTGTATAACAGTGTAAAGTAGTGAGCGTACAGCTTGTATAACAGTGTAAAGTAGTGAGCGTACAGCTTGTATAACAGTGTAAAGTAGTGAGCGTGCAGCTTGTATAACAGTGTAAAGTAGTGAGTGTGCAGCTTGTATAACAGTGTAAAGTAGTGAGCGTGCAGCTTGTATAACAGTGTAAAGTAGTGAGCGTGCAGCTTGTATAACAGTGTAAAGTAGTGAGCGTACAGCTTGTATAACAGTGTAAAGTAGTGAGTGTGCAGCTTGTATAACAGTGTAAAGTAGTGAGTGTGCAGCTTGTATAACAGTGTAAATCTGCTGTCCCCTCAAAATAACACGTCACACAGCCGTTAGGCTACACTGCAGGACTACACACACATACACCCTACGCCTACACATGCGCACTGCCCAACCCTTCTTTATGGGTAATTTTGGATTTATTCACCCACTTTTAAAACATTTATTAAACGTTTTTATCTTTTTACATGTTTATTTACAGCATTTTATGTTGACATGTATATTGTAATAGGCTGTATATTAACTTATTGGGAGAAAACCGGTAGTTGAATGTAAAATCAGACGTTGTGCACCCCCATATTGACAGTCGAATCAGGCTCCGCCCATCGAAGCATCGAACCTTCGACTATGCGGGGTCAGCCCAAACTGTGACATACTGAAGCAGAGCCCCTCCCTTCAGAGACCGGGCCGCAGGGCAGTAATCCAACATGATAACGACCCAAACACACCTCCAAGACGACCGCTGCCTCGCTAAAGAAGCTGAGGGTAAAGGTGACGGACTGGCCGAGCACGTCTCCAGACCTGAACCCTACTGAGCATCTGTGGGGCTCCTCAAACGGGAGGTGGAGGAGCCCAAGGTCTCTAACATCCACCAGCTCCGTGATGTCGTCATGGAGGAGTGGAAGAGGACTCCAGTGGCGACATGTGAAGCTCTGCTGAACTCCAGGCCAATAGGCCACACAAAATATATTGACACTTTGGGCCCAAATTGGACATTTTCACTTTTGTTGCCAGAGGTTTAGACATTAACGGCTGTGTGATGTGTTATTTTGAGGGGACAGCAGATTTCCACTCTTATACAAGCTGCACGCTACTTTACACTGGAGCAAAGGGTCATTTCTTCAGTGTCGTCACATGAAGAGATAGAATCAGATATTTACAAACATGTGAGGGGTGGACTCACTTTGAGAGATACTGTATATGCACACTGTATATGTGTGGAGGCACCGCAGGGATCAAGTGAACTGCTGCTGTGCAAAAGCTGATGTGTTTTCTGTCTTTCAGATTTAATAGTGGGAGTGTTTGGAGCAGACAAAGCTGTTTTATACAGGTAATCATCCTGTGTGTTCACCCCTGCTGGAGGAGTTTAATGAGCGAGGCCACCTCTGATATCAAAGCGCTGCTGTTTTCTCCTCCCGACTTTACAGAAGCCGTTAGGAACCACTTAACCCTTTCAGCCCAGAGTCTCGTTCTCCTGCTAATTTATTTATCCCCCTTCACTGCAGCGAAATTTTAATAATTATTGTACTACCACTCAAAAGTTTTAAAAACACGCGCCATATTTGTAGTTCTTCTGTAAATCTAAGTAGTTCAAGTCCAGTGAAAAACCTTTAATGGAGCAAAGTCAGCAGCAAAAGTTAGTTTACGATAACAAAACAACATCTAAAATTAACAATTAAATAAAGGAGTTTTGTTCATTATTTCTCTGTAGGATCAACTGATGACCAGCTGCTCTGTCTTCCCTCATTAATATTATATATAATAGATGTAATACAGTCCAAATAAAGCTTCTGACGGAGTACTAACAGGCTGCTCCAAGCTGTTTACTGTAGACATGGGTTTACTTTCCTTCCACTGCTGCAGAATAACTGAAAGTTGTGAAATAATGAACAAAACTCCTTCATTTAATTGTTAATTCTAGATCTAAGAGTGTCTGTTTTGGTGACTTTGGTAACTTTTGCTGCTTACTTTGGTACCATTTAAGGTTTTTCACTGGACTTAAACTACTCATTTTTACATAAGAACTACAAACATGGCGGCTGTTCTTAAACTTCTAACTGGTAGTGTGTTATCCATCTTCTCAGAGAAAAATCTATCCACACAGACAATGATACACACGGCATTATGGGAACTGTAGTTGCACTCAATTATTCTGAAAATAATAAATTATTATCATAATAAGTTTTCCTCTATTTTTATCATGCGGGTTTTTTTTTTTTTAATGGAGCAGCTGAGGCCTGAAATTAATTTGTGAATTTATATAAATGTCTGTATTCATTGGCAGTTGACTTAAAACTAATTTTTAATGATGTATCTCATTCATTTCTGACTCCTGCTCTCTGATCACTGTGTTGTAATGCAGCTGAATTCATCCTTTAGCTGCTCTCAGATTTGTCTGAGGGATGAAATTTAAACACTACGTTGACCAGCAGTCCGTTAGCGAGCCGCTGATCTGCAAAGTGAAATAAAACTGTGTGTGTGTGTGTCAGAGCTCGACCAGTCATCAGTGTGAACGCCACGTTAGACATCACGCCTCAGATCATCAACCCAGAGGAGAAGACCTGCACACTTCCTGGAACAACCACTCATGTGTCCTGGTGAGTCTGTCCTGACTGTTCTCTGAACAGTGATCATGAAGCAATGTGTTTCTTTTTGCTTCCTTTCTCCGGCCTGTCTGAAAAAACATCTTTACACATGAACACACGCGCGTGCTTTTCTGTGGATGATTGAAATTGTGATATCGTCTGAAACGAAAACAAAAAGGGAGAAAGGGAGAGTTCAGGTGCAGGAAGATCTGACTGTGTAAAGGAAATGTTGACACAGCTTTTATCAGCATGCCCTCCCGTACATCAAGTCTTCCATTTGTTATTGTAGTTGTGTTTTAAGTATAAATTAAGGGTTAACCCTATTGTTTGGTTTTTTTTGTCAGTGCTGGAAGAAGAACATTTTTCCGCCATTTAAAATCTTTTGAAAAATTCTGTCACTACTCCGGATCTCCGACTGCCACAAAATTTTCGGTAGATCATATTTGGACCAAGCTGATCAAAAGTTGCGTAAAGCTTGTTGATATCTCATTTAGCTTTCAAGATATTGACTAAAACGTTTAGAAAGGGGTGTGTCTCAGGACATAAACAGACAACAATCGGCAGGATATGTTCACATAAGTGCCTGAGACATGAGCCCTGAAAGTGTAATTCAAATTAAAGGGGGCGCTACAAGTGTATCATACAATTTAGACAATATAACAGAAGTTAATTCTCCAATCATCACACTAACGTGCAGGATATATCCTCAGAAGTAACTGGAACATGTTCTAATAATAGTAATAATAATAAAACATTTTATTTATAGGCGCCTTTCTGAACACTCAAAGTCACCTCACAAAACATAATAAAACAGTACAGCAATAATCGATAAAATTAACAACCATAATTACAGTGAATAAAATCAGGGTACAAAACAACTGGAAACAAAGATTGCTGTGATCACGTGGGATATGCCAGTTTAAAAAGATGTGTTTTCAGGCGGGATTTAAAAACGGAAAGCGAGTCAATGTTGCGGATGTCTGGTGGAAGAGAGTTCCAGAGACGAGGGGCAGAGAGACGGTCGGAGGCGATTAATGTTACGTAAATGAAAGTATGCAGACTGAGTGACATTATTAATGTGAGCTTGAAGTGAAAGTGTGCAGTCGAGGATAACACCAAGACTCTTGACCTGAGGGGAGGGGAAAACTGTGGAGTTGTCAATGGTAAGAGGAAAAACTGTCAGATTTAGTCAAAGTGGATTTGGTGCCAATGAGGAGAACCTCTGTTTTGTCACTGTTAAGTTTGAGGAAGGATAGGTAGAGCTGGGTGTCATCTGCATAGAAGTGGAAATGGAGGTTAAATTTACGAAAGAAAAAGTTTCATTCAAATCGACCAATAGGGGGGCGCTATAAATGCAAGAAATGGATGAGGCATAAAGTAAATGAGACTATGGCTGCTTCTCAAGTCTCTTATTTGTCTTTTCATCGCTCCTCGCTTGAACCGGAAGTTGTTCCGCTCCGCCGTCTTGCAGGCCGTCCTAAAGCTGTTATTTGTGCTCCAAGGAGCTCTGAGCGAGGATACACCAGTGCATCCTTCACGGAAGTCTTTTACTGACCGACACGCCCCCTTATTGGATAGCTGTTATATTGATTGGAAGCTGCAGCTGATCGGACTGATCTGAAACATCAGAACAGATGACATTAAACTCAAGTGTATTGCTGTCTTGTTAAAATTGTTCATTGTAGGTCTGAACAACAAAGGCCCCACACACAGCTTTATTTATTTATTAGAAAGAGTTTTGTTTATTTTATTTCTCCCGTCAACTTTTATTATGGAGACAGTTAAAGTCAGAGAGAGTCGGAGAGTCGGTCAGCAAGAAATTTCTATTCAGTCACACGTGAGGCTGCTCATTCCTGAGTTTAGTCCAAACAGAATAAAATATAGTAAACACGCAAGGAGTCGGACACTAAACTGCTAAAGTCTCTAATGAAGCGAGCAAAGCATCTGACGGAAGCAGCCGGCGGCTCCGCGAGTAAAATCAGCTGATGAAAGTATGAATGAAAGCTGCTGCTACGCTAAAACAAATTATTGGATTGAAACGATGGAACGCAGCGATCGATCGGTGACGAGTGATGTGACCTGCAAAAAAACTCTATGCAGTCGTGTTTAAGGACATCAGAAGAGGAAATAAACAGGAAGCCTAAAACTGAGCGTCATCTCTGATACAAGTTACATCATTTCAATTTCCCTCAAACATTTAACCTAATAAATCCCAAGACACCATGATCATACTCTGGGTTATTCACTAACGCATCAGAATCAATAAATCTAAATGAAGATAATATCAGCATCGTGCCTCTGAGCAGGACAAACAGTAGCTAAATACTTTTTCATGGGCAGGTGTTTGATAAACAGGTAATAGAGAATCCTGCTGCACTGAGAGACTGTGAGACTTTATTAGTACCAACCTTTTTATATACAGCCTATGGTACCAACACAGTGCACATGTATGTAGACACAAACGCCATCGAAAGTCTCGTCTCATTTCCTCGTCCCGTCTCTCCCGGTTTGGAAAAGACGCCAGTGAGGGAAACGTGGATGCAGTTAAGAGACTTGAGAAACAGCCTATAACTCGACATCAACATTCAGCCAATGAGAGCAGGCGGCTTCTTTTTTTTAATACAAAACGTCTCGTTGTCAGCTTGTCTTCATGCTAAGCTAACCGTCTCCTGGCTGTAGCTTCATGTTGAACGGGCAGATGTGAGCGTGGTGTCGACCCTTTCGTGAATCTCTGCCACTTACTTTTTCAGCTGTTATTTTCAGAGACGCAGAATCTAATTCTGTCATCTAACGCCGACTCCTTCCTCTCTCCTTGGTGACGCTGCAGCTGAGTGTCTGTGTGTGTTTTCCAGTTTTACGGTGAAGTACTGTCTGAAGGCCAGCGGCACCGGAGCTCCGGCTTTTCTCGGTAAGCAAAACGCCGCCTGCAGCAGTGACACACATGAAGACAGCTGACCTTTGATCAGTACAGAGCCACGTGTCCACGCTGATGATTGTGGTTCTGCCGCTTTCAAGACCGCTTCATGATCTCCTCTGTGTTTGGTCTCCCCCCAGATTTCCGTGTGGACCTGACGTTGGACCGCCTGAAGCAGAAGGAGGCGACTAAACGCGTCCTCTTCCTGCACAGTCGGACCTTTCAGTACTCAAAGAACATGGCGGTGTCCAACAGCAAAACCCCGACCTGCGAGGAGCAGTCCGTCTTCCTGCGGGTGAGAAATGGCACATTTTAAAATGAAAGAAGAAGAAAGTTCGAGCACCAGCGTGTCAAAACTGAATTATAATATATTTCTGTGAAACACATGAAAACACCACAACATTTTAACTGGTTTGCATTTAGAACAAATAACAACAGATTATGTCATTATGACATTCAAGTCGAAGTGTTTCCAGGTGTTTCCAGGTGTGGGGAGTGTTATAAAGCCTTCGGTGTCTCAGAGGGAGCTGTGTGACGTATGATAAATGTCCTCGAGTGATGTCACTTGAGTCGGCGTCGGCTGAAGACTACGAGTCTGAAACTAATCTGTTGGTGAGAAGTCAGAAAGACGTGAGCTCACAGACTCTGCAGCTGCTGCATTAGCCTCTGCTGGCATAACACCCCCCCATATGTGGCACGCAACTGTCAGAGGCAGACTTGCATTGTGGGTAAAGTAGGCGGCAGGTTTGAAAAGGAAAAACAGTGTGTGAAATGCACCGCACGGTACCAGCTCCACTCGCCTTTGTTTGGTTTTCCGCTGTTTCGTATCACCTCCGTCAAGGTTCCAAGCGAGCGGAGGGAAACTAAAATGTGACGTGAAAACACGACAGGCTGCTGATTGGTCAGAGAGAATCGTCCTATTCACTGCATCATCATTCGCACCAGACAGAGGCCAGCAACAGTTTTATATTTTACAAGTTTCATACGTTATTTCATCACTAAATCCACTTCTGAAGTTTTGAGATGAGAAATCAGCTGTGTAGATTTCGAATATTGACAGTTTTAGGAGAAGTGATGGCCAAACAAAAATGCGCTTGAAGGTTTTCAGAGTTGAGGAGCTCCGCAAGTGGCTGCGGGGGAAGCCTGCGGCGACCCGCGGGAGGAGCGTTGAGGCCGAGCCAAGACCAAGACCAGTTCCCCACATTACACACACACAATAAAATGTGGAACGAGAATTAAGTGCTAATTCATTTGTGATTTAAATTAAATGAATTAAATCTTTATTTCTTTCTTCTTTCTTTCTAAGTGGCGGTAAAAGTTAATAACGTGGTCCCAGCCGTCTCCGTAAGGTCGCACTGCAGAATTTACAGCCACATCTTCTCCTCTCTGCCTCATTCACTTCTTGGAGTGAAGGGCGGCGGGGACAGCAACCGTTACGGGAACAACACATGATTTATTAGGTTTTACATCCAATCAAAGTTGGATGTTACAATAAATCAGACAATGCAAAAGCAATTTATTGATATTCCCAAAGTTACGGTCTTGACTGTCTTGAAATAAAATCCCGAGTCCTCAATGTCCGAGACGAACCGACACCATCAAGAAGAGGTCTTAAGACCGGTCTACACACGAGTGTGAAATAAAAAAGAGGATATCTCTGTTCTGCTGCGTAGATTTTGAGCGTTTTTCTTTTAAACGATGAGTCTACATGTCGATATCAGCTGTTGTGAGCTAACTGCAGATAAATCTGTAGCTGCGTTTATAACAGCTGAAAATGGCAATTAAAAAAACAGAGAGACGGATCCTTCAGTCATGTTATAGTGTTGTCCTTGCATCTCTTGTCCACCAGAGGGCGCTCTGCAATCAGCTGGACTTAACCTCAACAACACATGTTGGGGAGAATCTTTGTTCTTG